TTTTTTTTTTTTTTTTTTTTTTTTTTTTTTTTTTTTTTTTTTTTCAAGAACCTGTTGCATTGATATCGGCAAAACATCATATACAATTATGGCTGAAGGGCGGTGCGTCTGGAGTGATTATCATCACCCCAGTTCGTTTTTGCTTGCACATTGTTTTTCGCTGAGGCTCCACGAGAGTAAAGACTCACATGATGGGCATTTTTTTATTTTTCTCTATTTTTAGTACTATGCTATGACGAACTTCGTGTTCTCCCCCCCCTTTTCGAGTTTTTCAGTTTCGCACTTCCTTTCGTTTCGTTTTTCTAAATGAACTTTGAAATTCAAATGAAGAGAAAAAGAAACATTACATTATTACTAAGTTAGTAAAGTTACTAAGTTTTTATTTTTTGTACTATGCCCCCCCCCCCCCCGCCCCAACTGCCTACCCCCAACCCCTGTATCCCCAGCTATAACACAATCGCACAGGATCTTGATTGGACCATTTCTCGATTTATGCGTGTCATGATGTCATCCTTGCGCAGGGGCCATTTGCTAATTACCCTTCTCTGCATCGTTCCAATTTTCACGGATGTCCCGAGGACAGAGGATCTTGTTTCAAAATACAAACTTGAAAAAAAAACAAAAAAACGTGGAGTCTTATCACCACCTCAGCTCACACATACGCAGCCCTCAAAAAGATGAGATGAGGGTCACACAGAAGTCGCAGGTGCCCCCACTGACTCCGACTTCGACAAGAAACGAACCACAGAGAGAGAGAGAGAGAGAGAGAGAGAGAACACCAACACCGACAAAGACAAAGACAAAGACAAGAAGGGACCCCTCCGCCTTGGCGCCTTCTGTGTGACCAGCACTTATATCCCATCTCACAATGCAAGGCTCAACTTTGAGACAATGTAACATAATTTCCCAATGCTCATTGCTCTATTCACAATGCAAGGCTCTACTTTGAGCATCTACGCAATATAATCTTGCAACTCGAAGAAAGCTCCAGTGGAATTGAACCAGGAAAGAAGAAGAAGAAGAAATTCAAAAGTGAATAGTGAAAACAGGGGCCAACTGCCTTTCGTACACGCTTCGATAGTTCTTCCATACATAGCTCACGCGCACATTCCCCGACGCGTTTCGATCGGTTGCGTTCCGATCATCCTCAGGGAGCTTCCCACATGACCCTGCCTTGCGGCCTGCCGACCTTCTGAGTATGGAGGGCCGATATGGCCTTGCCCTCCTATATACTGTACAACGAGTTGTGAGCCTAGCCAGCACGGTATTCTAATCCCCAACGGGCACTTCCACGAGCTACTACGGCTACGACAACTGGTCTGTCGCACAGACGCTGCGGCAGACTCTGTAAATTCTGTTACGTGTCAACGGGCACTTCCACGAGCTACTACGGCTACGACCACTGGTCTGTCGCACAGACGCTAGACTCTGTAAATTCTGTTACGTGTCGGCCCCTCAACGGGCATCAGATAGTCCAACCACGTAGTCTTCCGATCGCCGTCACAGCTACTATCCCTTTGGGCCAGCCTTCGCCGCATGTTCCCATGTTCAGAGCACTATGCATAGGCTAGGATTTTCCTTTTCCGCAGATAGTCTCTCCAACGTACGCTTTCCTAAATCCTCTCTTTTCTCTAGCTCCGCTTTCTCATTGGGCTAATTCGGGCGTCATGGATCGTAGCTTTACTCCTACTACGGGACTCGTCCATCCAGTCAGTTACAGGCGTGCCTCGCGAAACCTGTACACTTTCAAATCGCAGTGTGTTTTCCCGCTCTTATTGTTTGGGCGGGTACAGACCCGGTAGCATCGTGACTGGACTGCTTAACTGGCAGCGGGCTGCCGTGGCATACTGACTAGCCTAGTGCCGTGGCATACTGACTAGCCTAGTGCCACGTACTCCCAAAGACAAAACAAAAGCCTTTAGTTAAGAATTTATATACCCCGGTAGAAGAAGAAGATCTTGTTACGAAAAGAAGAAGAGGAAGACGATCTTGTTAAGAAAAGAAGAAGAAGAAGAAGAAGAAGAAAAGAAGACGATCTTGTGAAGAAAAGAAGAAGAAGAAGAAGAAGAAGAAGAAGAAGAAGAAGAAGAAGAAAAGAAGACGATCTTGGTAAGAAAAGAAGAAGAAGGAGAAGAAGAAGAAGGAGAAGAAGAAGAAGTTGAAGAAGAAGAAGACCTTGTTAATAATAATAATAATAAGAAGAAGAAGAAGAAGAGGAGGGGGAGGAGGAGAGAATAGCGAGGCCAATCGCTATTCGTCCAAGAATCGAGCGATAATCATCACAAAACCAGCCCGGGCATAAGACTGCTCAGAAACGCGCAGCCTGAAGAAGAAGAAGAAGAAGAAGAAGAAGAAGAAGAATGAACCAATGTCATCCCCTCCTTTTCTTGACATTATCGTCTCCCTCACACAACCATCTCTCCTCTTACGGACAATGAATGCAAGAATAAAATGTAGTAGATGAATGAATGAAGGAACAAGAGTCGATGTGCAAGTCATCCCCCTTACTGCCAGCATAACCGAGAGCTCTCCTTCCGGCCTTTCACTCTCACTCCTCTCCTCTTGCCCGCATACCTGACTATGGCAGAACAGGCAGAACATCCATGAGTCCCACGGACGTTCAACGTACAACGCACAACTCTCATGCCCTTAGCATCTAATTTCGCCATAGCCACTCCCAGATGGAGCCCCATGTTCAACAGGCGCCTTCCAACCAAGGAATCGGAGACGAAGGTGCACCATACCCAAAGGCAAGTCTCTCTTGTCCTTTCCCTCCTTCCTCCCACCTTCCTCCTTCTATCCCTGCTGCACTCACCTCTCCCACCCACCTTC